GACAGTACGTACTATTTATAGTCCCATGGGCTGCTCATGGCCATGCTGTACGCTCCAATCAATCTGTAACTGTAAGACTGCATAATGATCAGACACTAACTGGTACAGTTACTGCTACTTTCATTATTCGTTATTATTAATTAAATTTATTTGTAATTATGACAGTAATGATGTTGTCTATAATCAACATGTAAATTAGTAACCAGTTGGACTATAGGACTTATCTATCGTCACTCTTATTATAACTCATCTTCCTCAACTCTCCTTCGCCTTTATGTAACTCTAATCCGTCCCATTCTAGAATATGCTGCTGTTGTTTGGGATCCGATTTCCCCTTCTGTCTCTTCATCCATTGAAGGAGTCCAATATTTTGCATTAAAAATGGTTTCTAAATCTTGGTCTTCGTCATATAGTGACCTTTTGTCCAAATTTTCTCTTATTACTTTAGCACAACGTTGCTTAGGATTCGAACTTATCACTTTGTTTAAAATTAAAGAAAATATGCTTTTCTCACCATCTCATCCTCTAATTCAATCTACTCCTTCTCATTACTCTCTCCGCTCAAATTATCAAGGCAATCTTAAACCAATTATTTGCAAATCCTTGTCCTTTCTTCACTCTTTTTTCCCATCAAGCATAAACCAATGGAACTCTCTCCCATCCTCTATCAAACTATCTCTCTCTATTTCTAAATTAAAATCATTCATTTCATCTAACCTATATTGATCTATTATTTATTTGTTAATTTATTATTAGCTTTTGCTATGAAAAAAAAAAGAAAAAAGACTATAGCGTGACTCCTTTATAGTATAGACAACTGCTTACATGACACTTAATTTGTAGTTTAGCAAGTTTATATTAACACATTATGTATAGCTTATTTCACATATACAGTCAAACCTGTCTAAACGGTCACTGCTTAAAACAGCCAGCTACTTTAAAACGGTCACTATTTAATGTCCCAATTTTTTGGACAATGACTGTAATACTAAACTTACCTGTCTCAGCGGTCACTCTGTAAGATGGTTAACGGTCACCGACAGAATTAATCTCCATCAGGACTGATAAAGACCACCACTGTGTACAGGCGGCCAGATAGCCACGCCTATTGTACCACGCCCATTTTGAATTAATTTTTTACATCATTAATGATTATTTTTTTTTAATTGTTATCTCAAATAATACCTTCGAAATAATACTGTATACCACTCAGTTTAGGTCTTTAGGGGTACCTAAAAGTTCTTTAAGTCTTGTTATATAGTTTCTATGGCCAGTAAATGTGTACAAAATAATTTAAACTGTATTTAAAGGCATCTCTATAAAAAGGCCACCTGCATAAGACAGCCACTAAATGCATGTCCCAAGGTGACCGTTTTAGACAGGTTTGACTGTACCTAATTAAATTTATGAATATTAAGAAACTAAATCTAGTCCTCACCTGGCTAATCACTGCAGGGGCGTATCTAGAAATTAGAGAAGGGGGGTGCTGAGGGCGCGCGAAGCGTGCCGCGATTTTGGCCACACCCACTTTTACGGCGGTAAAACGGCCTTTTCCTGCATTTTCGTCAATTACGGGTGGGGCCAAGATCATTTCAAGCATACTGCTATGTTA